GCTCCCCCCCCCTGCGGGGCGCGCGCCCGACGCCGCCCGCAGCCAATCGCGCCCGGCCCGCTGGGCTGCGCGAGAGCCGCCCCCGACCAATCACCGCGCGGCGCCCGGCGCGCCCCGCCCACCGCGCGCGGCCGTGCGGAGCCCCCCTCCGCCGCGCGGCCCCGCCCCCGTGACCCCGCCGGCCAATCACCGCGCGCCGCCGCGCCCGCAGCCGCCGAGACCCCGCGAGATTCCCTCACCTCACACAACCCTCACCCCGGCCGGCCCCGCCTCCTCACCTTCCTGCCAATCACGTTGACCCGCTGGCCAATGGGCTCCGCTCCTGCGCCAAGTCCCGCCCCCGGGACCCGCTTTTGGCCCAATCGCAGCCGCCCATCCAACSCAATTAGCCAATGAAGAGAAACGAAAGCCCGAAAAGGGGTTACTGGGCCAATGGCACCGGGAGGCGGGGCCGCGCTGTGACTGACAGCTCCCCTCACCAGTGSTCGGAGCCGGTGGGCGGTGACGGAGCCKCCGCTCCACAAATCACAGAGCGCAGCGCCGCGTGACGGATGCGGAAGTGCCCGGTGCGCCCGCCCACAGMCGGCAGACAGCCAATGGGCGGAGGGGGAGCTGCTGACGGGCRGCCGATCGGGCCAATAGCGGCGCGGGGCGGGGTGAGGTGAGGACGCGGCGCGCGTGGGGTCACCGTGGGCGCTGAGGGGGCGGCGGGAGCGGAGCGGGAGCCGCGGTCAGGGCGGGCTGAGGGCTGCGCTGGGTTCCGGTGTTCCCAGTCCCCGTGTCCTTGCGCCCTCCCGGCTCCCGCTGCCCGGGCCCGGTACCCGCCGGCGGTACCCCAGTGCCCCCTCTCATCCCCCGGGTCTCGCTGGCTGCGGGCCGACCCCACTCCATCCCCCGCTACCACAGCACAGGGGACCATTGGGGGCTGCCCGCGAAGGGCCTGGCGGTCTGTGGCGTTTAGGGGCCTGTTTTTCCAATTTCTAAGAAGCGGCGAGCGGCGAAGTGCCGGGCTGGCAGCGGGGCCCTTGGGCTGTGGCAGCAGGCGGTGGCACCGTGTCACGCCGCCCGTGAGCTCCCCTTGGCAGGAAAGGGAAATAAACCGCTAATGATAGGGTTGAGATGCYCTCAGCAGCGCGGCCGTGGCCCATTGCCCGAGGCAGTCCCTGCCAGGCTCCCTGCAGCGTGCTCAGAACATGCTCAGGGGGCTCCGTGCGAGGTACGTGTTAACCAGGACCCAAATTTTCTTTGGTTTTAGTTCCCTCATGCCGTGAATCTGCGTGCTTGGGGACTGCAGTGTCTTTGGGTAAGGCATCAGTGTTCCCCAAAACACAGGAATAGGTAAAAACTCGACAGTTTTAACACTTCCCATTTCTCACGTGAATAATCATATCTGATTAATAGTTTTACTTCAGAAAACTCTCAGGTTACTGGAGCCTTTCCCATGGGCGTAGAATTAAATTACCTGTGATGTGATGTGATGTGATAAAGAGGTTCTTTCAGGTAACTGAACTGGGTGTGAGCGGTTGCAGAGCAGTCAGTGAGTGCCAGGGGATCTGCACCTGCTGTGCTGGTGACAGCCTTTCCTTCGCTGCCCCTGGTCCTACCTGGGCAGGGAAAGAGCCCAACAGAGCTGTGAGAGGCACATCAATTCTAATCYCTTGCTGGTGAGCACAGTTACCCATGGGGACGTGCATTTGTGCCTTATCATTGCACTCACAGTAARTGCTGGAATGCAGCTCTGCTGTCTGCAAATGAATGCTGGTGTAGCCGGGGTTGTCTGTGCTAAACTTACGTAAAAACTGCATATAAAAGTCAACACTGTGCATCAGAAACACGGAGCTCACTCKTGTTCACATTGCTGAAAATCCACTGCTTCAAGTTTAGTCTTTTCTGACTCTTAAGAGATTTATTTTCCCCTTGGATWTGACACTTGCTTTGCAGGGATATAATCTCTTTGACAGTGCTCTGCATACAGGCAAGGSATGGAAGACAATTTGTAATCAGCTAGTCCTGTTGCTTTGATGCTCCTCAGCAGTGTTTTAACCTTAAAATTCTCCACAAAATATTGTATAATCTTGAACTATAAAATGTAATGGTCCAGTTCCAGAYGTAATTTATCAGCTTTTTCTTCTTGTCCCATATGAACTGTGAAAACAGGACTCGAAATACTCGAATAAGTCTTTTGATTGTGTGTTGTGCATCAACATCCTTCAGCGTTTAGGCATGTAGGGTTTTTGTGATTCTTYAATGCAGAAAGAAATAACATKAAGTGGAACAAAGCATAATAAAATGCACAGRTTTGTCTCTGATCCACGAAAGGGGTACTCTGAGCTGCACTATTGATAATTTATCATGTGGGTGTTTGACAAGCCCACACATACCCTGATATAACACTGCAGATAGAGTCCTCAGTGTTCTGTAATGCCCTGGAAATATGTAATTCATAAATCCTGATGCTGAAACTCTTWAAGAGTGTCATAAACATGGTGCTAATGCCTGTGAATCTGAGAAGGTTGGTTAGTCAGATAAATACCATGCTCTAAATAAACTGTGATYCTAACGTGCAACAGAGTAATCATAGACACGAAATAYCATGGAATTGAAATTGCTGTTTGARTMTGTTGGCCCATTTCTTTGCAAAGAATAATTTTCCAGAGTTTTTGTCTTTAAAACCTTTTCTCTGTGAATCTGGAAAAGAATAAATTGCTCCATTAATAAAATGCAGTGTGGATCAGGGGAGAGAATATTTTGGTTTAGCTTTGGATATCTATAAAGGTTTCTGTCTGAACRTTTGCAAGGATGGCAGTATCTCTTCATCTAAGAGGAGGATGGGATCTATTTGTCTTGTGGAATGAGGGACAATTCCCTGCCCTGATCAGGGCAATGTTTTAATAAGATAGAGGGAAATGCTGCATATACAGATAGATGGTCAGGATTAGCACTGCAGCTTGAAATCATCCCAAAGGTGTCACCTCCACTACACTGAGCTCATGCTCTGCAGAGCTTTCTCGACAGAAATGTTTTCTTGTGTGAGTTCTGAAGGACTTGCTGAATTCTTCACTGACTGCAGAACTTMAACATAAGCTTGGCTTTAAATGGGAATGTTCAGGTGCTTACAGCTGATTTGTAATAATTAGTCATTTAAAAACTTCAGCCTGATTGTTCAGTCTTTTCTGTCTCATTTTCATCCTTCCTGCTAAACACCAGTTGCAGGAGGCAGAGGGGATGTCTTTATCCCCTGCTGCTTYCTGGAGAAAGTGTCAGTTCTGCGGTTCCCTCTGTTCTATATTTCTTTGCACCACAAATGACCCTGCTGCTCTTTGTCGACAGTGTTTCCTTTTATCCTTCTCCTGGCAGCTGCTCTTGCTCCATTCTGATGTTAGAACAGCAAATGAATTCCCTCTGAAGCAAATGTCATGCCAGTAAAGATGTTGAAGCAGCAAGAAAATCATCTCTGTCTCTGAAGACTGAATTGGAGACCTTTGTGAATGAGTTGTTCTTAAAATAGCTCCACAGCGTGTTATCTTCCCTAGAAGGTGGAGAATTGAAAGCATCACCACAAGGCACTTGTCCTTGTGCAAGCAGCATCCCTAAATGATGGGTTTAGGAGTGGGGAGAGAAGCAGGCTGCTTCCCTTTCCTCCTCTCCAGGCAAAAAGCACTGCATGATTTTAAGCTGTGTGTGATGGTACATTTATGTTTTTTCTGTGAGTTGCATCTCTCTTTGCTGCTTGTTTAAATATGCCATGTTCTGAGTGACCTTGTTCTCCATGATCCGCTGTTTCTGGAGTAAACTGGTAGCTGACAGTGGTGCCAAGSCTCAAGTTGGGTAGAGGAGCTCTGAATTACCCTGTCTAAGGATCAGGGTGGCCATGGCCTCCATGGAGAGCAGAGATTCTCAGCTGCTGGGGTGTGCCTCAGCCTGGATAGGCTTAACTCAGCTCTGAGTTCACCTTGGTTCCTGTCCTGATTCAAACCCACTTGTCTAAGGAAGAGAATGGGTTTGGAAATTTTCAGTTCCATGTAACTTTGGAGGCGGTGGTTCAGGTGATGGAAGCTCTGTCTGTCTGGTCAGACAACAGGCATTGGTTGTCTATGAAGAATTTGGTTCATTTGAGAGCTTTTGCTCAGATTTTTCTATTCTCAGCAAGTTTGGGGTGTTTGATTCCATGACAGCCTCAGGAGAGCTTTGGGCCCAGCAGAACACAGCAGAGCTGTGACATCCCATTGTCCCCAAGTACAATCCTCATGTTCTGGAGTCCCACAGCTTCAGTGTGGCCATGCAGATGAGCCAATACTCCAGGGATTGTAGGTGCCTTTTGAGAATCCATTGTTGTGTTGTTGCTTCCTAATCCTGTCCTTGAAATCGGGTGTTCATGAAGRAAGTAAATCTTGCATATGGGCACTTTGGAGCAAAAAATGCAGGCTGTACATATGACATGCATGTGAACTCTTGTTATTTTGTTTATCAAAAAAATGATTGTACTGAATGAAATTGAGGAATCTGGTAGCAAAATTAATTTGGAAAAGTCTGATACAACATTTTGGCAGAATCCTGAATAGAATCTTACATGACTGTGAATATCTGAATACTTCTATTTATCTTCAGCTTGGTGGAAGGGGAATTGATAAGTAAAAATACTAGATGCAGAAATAAAATCACTAATTGAAGAACAGGGATTTTTATAGCAGTT